ACACAGCATGTCACGTTCACGTGTGCTGGCGCTGCAAAAGAGATTCTGAGAGGGACCTGTGTCACTGCAAGATGATGCTTTGCCCAGGAAAGGTTCATCGTGTCGTCACTCCTGATGTTACTGCTCCGTTGCATGGTCATATCCGGTCAAACCGACGGATCACTGTGGAAGAAATTAGTCTTTTGATGGGAATAAGTCATGATTCCGTTCACGCCATTGTGACAAAACACCTGCTGTACCGCAAAATCTGCACACTGTGCGTTCCACATCAACTCACGGAGGAACAGAAGACTCAGAGAATGGCTGCATCACTGGGTCACTTGCAACGATACCATGAGGAAAAGTATGCTTTTCTGTCCCGTATTGCCACTGCGGATGAAACTTGGTGCCACCATTTTGAACCAGAGAGCAAACGGCAGAGTCAACAGTGGAAACACGTGAATTCTCCCCCACCCAAGGTATCCAAAGCCGTACAAACAAGTTCCGGTAAAGTGATGATGACGTTCTTCTTCTGCTGCAAGTGCCCTCTGCTTGTCGAATTTCTCGAGCATGGGGAATATCAAAATTAATTGAGATAAGATTCGGGGGATCTGCTTCTCTCGCGGTTTTGGTCCGCCTTTGTCTCATCTTACGAGTATATTCAATGGAAGGAATATTCCATTTGTAAATAGTGTGAAATATCTCGTTGCAATCTTCGATAGGAAGGTTACATGGAGATTACACATATAAATGATCGAAGTCAAGGCCTTCAGAACATTTTTTCCCCTTGGCACTACAGCCCCAGTGGGCCTAAGCCTACCTCCATGAACTTCTCCGTCATTTCGGTTTTTCCAGATTTTACACATTCGGTAGGACTCCTTGGGCAGGGGATCAGCTCGTCGCAAGGCCTCTATCTGTACACAAATACAGAAAAACGCACACACACAAACTAAACATCCATGCCCTGAGTGGGATACGAACCCACGATCACTGTTTCCAAGCGAGCGAAGACAGTACATGCCTTAGACCGCTCGGCTACCGTGACCGGCCTTCAGAACATTAGATTGTTTTCCCTTTTCAAAAGTGATCGATTAAGAGCTATTATTAAGCTGGCCCTCCACAGAGCACTCATTAGATCTGTAATTACTTATGCTGGTCCCGCCTGAAATTGTCATGGTGAAGAAATGAGACATTTACTGAAGTTGAATTAATATGTCTGAAATAAATAGTTATAAGCAAGAGGGCGAAACGCATTTTAAAGAATTAAGTTGAAAGGGTGTGGACCGGATTTACTTCTCTTAGGCTATAGACCCATGACAGACTCCTGTGAACATGGTAATAAACTTTGAGTTTCATGGAAGGCAGATATATTCTAGAGTAGATGAGTAACTACTAGCTTCTGAAGAGCGAGATTGCTCCATGGACTTAGCAGTTCATAGTGAATCTGAAGTTGCAGTTAAGATACCTGAACAAAACCGCTATTATCAGTTTGATATCATGGAAAAGGAAAGTGTGTCCTATTTTTAGACTTTTTAGTTTTCATATATTGAAAGATGCAAGAAGCGCTGGGAAGAGCTAATTTCCTACTTCCTTTCATTACATATTGATTATTCGATATGACCCGGTCCGTATGGAAAATACCACGTTCAGCGACTTCTCATTGCAATGAAGCATGGGGCACGAAAGACCACCCAGAAAATACCGCGTCCAGTAGTTCCTCTATCGCTGCTTTTTGTGTATGCCTTTGCGGGCGAACGTGTTTGCCGTGCCGCTGCCTGCTTTGCTTGTTCTGAAAGATAAGAGGAGTCTCATGAGTTCACATTGTCGCCTGTTTTTAACACCCTAAATTTTGAAAGTTTGAATAGTGGAGCCTGAAAAGACGGCCGTTACAATACCACATATATATTTGTGACCTGCCACATGACGCCTGAAAGCCAGAATGGTGCACATAGAGATACGCCGTGGAAATGACCATTGCTAACAAAGTCTCTGTAATGAGTTCCCAGGTATCTGTGCGCCTCGCCTGACTGCTAACCACCGCCGGTCGGCACAGGTGAAATAAATTGTTGCGGTCCCTCGCCAGCATCACCGTTCTTGGTTTGAGGCCCTGTCGGGACACATGACGTTAATTTTGTTCCTGGTCTCGAGTCCCACGGAACAGAATTCCTCTGTATATCCCATTGCTAGGCAACGGTTCTGTTGCCGGGCAATTACATAGATGTCAGTTATGTTATTTGCACCTTGCAGGGAAGCTGATTCCTTATTCTACTTTACGCAAGCTCAACTGTCTAGAACATCCATGAATATTAATTTTCCTATGTATTATGTAATATGATATGCTCTAGTTCATTTCAGTGTGGGGATTTTGGATTAATTTATACGAAACATTTGCAGGTTTTTACAGAAACTGCTGAGGAACTTTCTCCTGTTATGAGAAAGATGATATTGGTTAAATTAGTTCACCTGACTCATTTTTATGAACTGAGTTAAGTCCCTGTATATGAATGCAAAATTGCTAATATTACATTTGAATATCCTGTTGCATTGATTAACTTCTTAGGTAATTATTTTATTCGTTTGATTTTCATAAAACATGTCTGGCCTTACATGGTCATTCTTAGGTCATCATGTGTTGTACGTTGGTTCCCTCTTGGTTTTGTAAAAATATATGGCATTTAATTCTAATTGGAGCTTCCTTTGAATGGACACCTCAGAGAAATAACCTTCGGTAAATTCACCCTTGTGCTATACGCAATGAAGACGTGTTGGGGAGTGGATATATATATATATTATTCATGTACGTGTATGTATTGCATGTATTCCACGTATTCTTGACTTCGGTAGTAGTTGGAGGTGAGTGGTCAGCTATATGCACCGGCCGATTTATTCCCGGGGAGAGACCCTGGTACCCATTTGGCAGGAGGCTGGGATGGCACCACAGCCGGTCTCGAAGACACGGAGATGAAAAATTTCTTGCCCCTACCGGGACTCGAACTCCGAATCCTCGGCTGTCCAGCTTGTAGCCATATCGACCGTATCTTAGCTATATCGACTTATGGCATAAGATATGCCTGAGAATGGCCATGTAAGGTCTAAATATTTTGAGAACGAGAAAAATTAAATGGAATACGACAGCTACATGTTTCGGTCAATATTTTGAATCATCCTCAGGCAGTTTCATTAAATACGTCTCACTTTATTGTAATATCCTAACACGGATCCAGCTTAGTGTTAATCATTATAATACATGTCATTATTACTGCAACTGTATTTTTTTTTATTGCTAGTGGGGTGGGAATAAGTCCCTTGTACTATGGCCATTTCTGGCCCATTGTACCAGCCCAAGATGACAGGTGAGGGTCATTGTGGAGCAATAGGTGGAATGAAGATTGGCAGGGGAAACTGAAGTACTCGGAGAAAACCTGCCCCAGCGCCACTTTGTCCACCACAAATCCCACTTGACCAGACTCGGGATCGAACCCGGACCGCCGCGGTGGGAAGTCAGCGACTAACCGCTTGAGCTATGGCTACTGCAGCTGTAAAAGAAGGTTTAAATTTTAACACATTCTGTCGTAGTTATGATGTCAAATTCTTTATCTGTCGCATATTGTGGGTGGTGTTTGTATTCCTGGAGTTTGCTGTTATGTTTTTATATGTGTTGGTACTATTCGGAAGTTGGGATAACGAAGTTGGTATAACGACTGGATACGGGCTGGACGACCGGGTTTCGAGTCCCGGTAAGGTCAAGAATTTTTTGTTCTCCACGTCGCCAGACCGGATCTGGGGTCGACCCAGCCTCCTATCCAATGGGTACCGCGGGCAATTTCACCGGGCTTAAAGCTGACCACTCACCTCCAACTACTGCCGAGGTCAAGAAAACGTGAATCAATATATCCACTCTCCCATACGTCTTCATTGAATACTGCTTAATTATTGAAGTGCAGGGACAACTTTACTTCTTGGTGCTATTCAGGTACGTAATGATCATTATTAGTTTTTATATGCTTCTTCTAGCCTTCTTGAATGTGACGTCGTGATTGAGTTTTTTCTCTCTTTCTATAGGGTGTTGTGTACTTATCATGTGGATGTTTGTTTTTGTGTTGATCACGTTCCTGGTTTCAATGTGGGCTCACATGACACACAGCAGGTTGCAGACAATAACGAAAAGGAATATGACAGCGTTGCAATAACCATGTAGCCATGCACAAACATTTCGTCTATGAAACTGAAAATAAACTGTTAAGTATTGCAAATTATTTGTTGCCCTTTTGAGAGGGAAGTGGGCGGTGTACGTGGGATAGTAACTTGCTTTTTGCCGATTGAGTTCTTGGCAGTAACTGACTGACAGTATATGCCGTTCACCACTTGCATTACAGTAGGAACTTTGTTGTGAACCGTTCCCTGGCTCTAGTATACAAATCCCCTGTTTAGACGATACTAATGCAGATTGCAGTGTGTTATAACCCGTTCCCCATCAAGATTTTTATCTCAGTTAGGGCGAGGGAAGCCGCGCCATGGCGCAAGCGGTTAGTAGCTGGGTAGCTGGCTTCCCAACGTGGCGACGGCGGCGACCCTGTTCGATCACTGGTCTGGTCAAGTGGGATTTGTGGTGAACAAAGTGGCGCTGGGGCGGGTTTTTCCCGAGTACTTCGGTTTCCCCCATCATCATAATCACCCGGGGCATGGTACAATAGGCCAATCAGTGACCGCCGTGCCGAGTGGACCCAGTTGGACTCCACCCCCCACTAAGCGAACTAAAAAAAATAGGGCGAGGGTACACCAAGGAAACTGGTAACCGCAACGCAACAGCAATTTCCGAGAAATGTCATTGATTACATGTAGGTAACTGGTTTCCTGCTTAGCAGGTTCACACTGAGGAAACTTATGTTTGATTAGTTGCTGACATCATCTTATGTAGGTATGCTTGTCCGACATATTGCATGACTGCATTTTTTAATTTCTTGCACTTATCTTCTGCAATGGAAGATAATAATATTGATACTGTCTTAAAATGGTGATAGTTGAGGCCGGTTGAGGCGGCGTTAGAAGAGAGGACGACGACCATAAAGAAAAAATTGGGGGTGTTTCTTTCGTGTACCCTCGTCCTTAGCATCGACTGCTCTACATGCGTAGACGAGTGGAATGAACGTAAAGGGACGTAGTGTTTAACTATGGTTCCTTTTAGGCACTGCTGGAAACATGTTTTCGATTCTTAAGCTCCATGCTTACCGTATTTAAGATGGCGCCTCTGAAAGAAAAGTCGTGGTCGTCATGGTAGCGTTAATCAGGAATGTTTATAGACAGTTGAAGAGGAAGCACTGTATAGTGATTAAATATTGTGCTGAAATGTTAAGGAGCGAGACAAGACATTACTGTGACCTTATGGTAACACACATATGTTTATATTAATTAAGCCCGGTGGTTGATTTTTATTTTAAAGTTTATGTTCAGTTCGAACATTGCACACTTCGCATTCAGTTATTAGAATTATATGACTCGTGATATTGTGATTAATTAAACTTAGTAGCGTTCATAAATTGATGCTACCGTTTTATATTTCCCATGTTAGTTAGAATGTCCTGTTTTTCTTCAGTTACTTTCTTGAAATGAGCATGTAGCAAGTAAGGTTATGTTCTACGGTTATTTTTAGGGAGGCGTCATATTGTGTTTCAAGCAGCGGATAGCCCAGGCGTATTATGAGAACAAGACATGGAGGAAATGCTTGCTAGTTGACTGAGTATGGTGTGGTGTGTTGTCCACCGCACCTAGGCCTTCATGTTAGAAACTAGCATCTAATCACCCGATCTTTGGCGTAGCCTGTTACTTTTCCGACCGCTTCTATTTAGGACTTCACAAATGGCAATTTCTAAAGAAAAGTTCCTGTTAGTAACAGTGGAGCAAAAATTCTCAAGTAGTTGGTATGGCATCGGCATCGATATGTGAGTAAATGGAGTAACTTCTATTGTAGTGTCTCTATGCAACTCCATGTTTCTTTCCAGGATGGAAAACCTGCATTTGGACTATTATTTGATATAGATGGTGTGATAGTACGTGGAAAGAAAGTATTGCCTTCCGCATTGGCGTCTTTCAAAAGACTTATTGATTCTGAAGGAAAGTTCCGGGTCCCAACAGTGTTTGTGACTAATGCTGGAAATGTCATGAGGCATGAGAAAGCAGAACAGCTCTCTTCATGGTTAGAAATTGAGGTACACAAACATTACAGCATTTGTTCCTTAGTTCAGTATTTTTGCATCTAATCACTTTTATTCTCCAGGTTCTTTTGCTTTTATGTACAGCATTGGTTGAGATCTGGTAGTATTCCCTTTTATCATTTGGAAGCCAGAAGTACAGGGTGTGGACAGAATAATGGAATCACTAAGAGATTGAGGACTAGAATTTGTTTGTGTTGGCTACATTGAACGCACTTCAGTTGTCAACACTGACACTTCTTTCATTTATTTACGCTCTGTAGTGCTCATGTCAGTACATTAGTGATTGTGTTAAGTGACAGTCTGTTTGAAAGAATCAGAAAATAGGAGACTTGTCTGATTTTGAAGGAGGATAGATTGTTGGTTTGTGTTTAGCTGGAGCATCTGTGACAAAAACTGCCACAATAATGCATATATCAAGAGCGATAGTTTCTAAGGTTATGTCAGCAAAAACAAATCAAGGAAGACAATGTCAATGAAGAGGAACAGTTTGTGAAAATCAACATTGACAGAAAGAGATTGTCATACATTGAGAAGTGTTGTTTCAAAAAGTCACAGATCTGCCGCAGCACTGGTGACAGCAGAACTGAATATTCATCCTGAAGACCCTGTTTTCACTAAAGCTATTTTACATGAGCTTCACAAATCTCACATTCACAGTAGGGCTGCAATTGCTAAACCTCTGACTACTGAAAGTAATTCTCAGATGTGTAAAAGATGGTGTAATAACCATACAATCTGGACATTAGACAACTGGAGACATATCAGGAAAAACTTATGTTTGGAGAACACCCAAGGAAGCCTATAATCTACATTGCCTGCTTTTGTTCCAACAGTCAAAACATGTGGAAGGTTCTGTAATGGCTTTAGCAGCAGTATCATGGCACAGCATTCTGTTGGTCCTTTTATTTCCCTTCATGGCCTAATTACTGCAAAGGAGTATGTGGACAGGTTGGGTAATAAGGTGTGTCCCATGATCCAAATGTTATTTCCTAAGAATGATGCAGTTTCCCAAGATGACACTGCACCCATTCACACAGCTGGAACTGTTAATTTATGGTTTGAAGAGCATGAAGGTGAAGTTCAACCTCTTCCCTGGCCAACACAATCACCACATATGAACATCATTGAACCACTCTGTTCAGTTTTGGAGACTAGCGTGAGGAACAGATTCCCACCTCCAACATCTCTAAAATTTAAAAAATTTTAAATTTAACCTTTAAGTGCCGAAGTGCCCTGTTTGTGCCAGTCGTGAGTAAGGTCGTCGTGGCCAAAGTACCCCGTTTGGGCCAGTCAGGCATTTAAACTCCGCCAGTGGAAGCGCGCACACACGCCGCTGGTAGAAGCGCATGCACAGTCCTTAATATTTATTTTTAAATGTAGTAATTATCATACAGACTTGAGTAAAACCCTAATAGAAGAATTAAAATAATACCTAAATTAACAACAGCAAATAAAAATATATGTATGAGTTATGCCAAAACTTATCCATGATCCAGTAATTTTATTGCAGATTCTGCAGATAAGTACGTTAAAAATATATTGTAAAATTCGATGTACATACCTTTTTTGTTGTTACCTGCTTGATGTATATATAGGTTCAAATGAAAGTACAGTATTCGATTTCACTATGAACGCACACAAAACGGATCGCGCTCTGTATCTCAGCCACGATGCAGCTGTCAGTTCATTCAAATAGAAGGGGCAATAAGCTTTTGCAGCTCTAACGGAAGGTCTTAGCACTGAAGAAGGGACCCCTCTAACTTTCTCTTGAATAGCCATTCTTTCATTCTTCTGACCTTCAGACAAAGATTCGAAAATCCGAAGGGTGTAAGCAGTGCTAGCAGAAGACCAAATGATTTTATTGCTTCCATCTGTTTTATGACAGCAGGGACTGCTAAAATTTGTCAAGTGTTACAAACAGAAATGAATTTATAATGCAGAACAACTCTGTGAAGAACTGGGAAACCATTTTTGCAGTACGCATCAAAATTAAAACACAAAAAATTGAAAATAGAGTATAACACTTTGTATTAAAAATTTCATAATCTTCCGTTATAATATGCGACACTATGTTCTTTTCTGATATAAACAAAATTAATTCCATCCATTTATCATAAAAATTGAGCTAGATACAGCATTTTTAAACACAACACTTAAAATTGATTAAGCGCCTAACAGGAACGGACATTTAAACACAGAGTAGCAACGGGCATTTAAATAAACTCCGGCCATCTCAAGCTTACCACTATTTCCAAGTCCGGCATTTAAAGGTTAAATTGAAGATTTTAAAAATACCAAAATTCAAAAATCAGATTGATGTATGTAAATTAACAAAGATTTTATACATATCTGACAAATATCAGCAGGGGGATTCTGATATATCGGGACCTATTAACAACGGAGAAATGAACAATTAAGAAAGCTGGTGTTTTTAAATTTGAAACTATGTGCAGTGTAACAGCTACGTGAGAGAAATACACCTGATGATGGCCATTTATGGCCGAAACATGTAGTGTAGAAGAAAAGAAGACAGAAGAACTACAATAAATTATAATTTATTGTAGTTCTTCTGTCTTCTTTTCTCCGTCCTAAGTGCAATAATTATTGCAATAATTATTGCACTTAGGACGGAGTTTGTGTCATACATTCAGAGACAAAGTTTCACACCCATACAAGACTACAGGCAAAATTGCAGTTTTCTGTGTTTTAATTTCTATGTTTTTAGACAGCTAATGAGAAGACAAAATATCCTGAACTTAATGGTAGCAAGCATTACCCAAATTTAATGTGTTTTTAATTTCTTCATGAACCAAATTCTTTTTATTGCCATTCCCAAATATTCGGACCTTGCCACATGTTCAAATTGGAGTTGGTGTAGGGTCAGTTGACGTAGATGTTTGTGGTGTTTTAGTTACTTGAGTTTTGCATTTTCTGTAATTATGGATGTAGTCAGCAGATAAAATGTTATGTGTTTCTATATATTCAAGCTGTAGTTCAGCATGTAACTTTGTTCGTTTGGGTGCATCATGACAATTATCTTCTAACTGCTTCATTTTCTTGTACTCTCTCATATATGCAGCACAACTATTACCAGCGGACTTCTTATCAGTGCGTGACAACATACACTGGCAGCTTGCCTATGGTAGTCATATTGTGTTATCCCCTAAACAGACAAATTGAATTAGCCATATTTGTTACAATCAGATGATCATAAATCCTAAACTGTAAGCAGTGGACCAAAATGGGTTGCATTTTTGAGAAGCTTATGTTTATTAATGCACTCCAATATGTCTGATCCATCTCTTACAGTTTAGCTGTGGCAGGCAGTTGAAAGTCTATAAAATTAGGAAAATTTTACATTTTGAATTGTTTCGAATTGTTTCATTTTGGTCCGTTTATGATTTTAAAATTTTACATGTTTTGGATAATTGTTTAAACAATATACGATTTTATTTTTGGAATAAAATAAGCATTTTTGGATAGATCACTCTATTCTTTCATTTACGTATAACATTTAATGTAAGACTCCATAGGTCTTGAGTTTTCAGTGGTTATGTAAGAGGTTGCACAAGTGTTTCTCTCAGTGTCATTGCTTCATCCATTTGCACCCTCCCATGTTTTCAACATTAAAAGCAGTAGTGATAAAGCATCTCCTTGTTTCAGAACATTTTGTGAAGGAAAAATATCAGAGAGGTGTTTACATGTAAATATTTTACTGTAGGTTACATTTAAACATGTCTTGATAGACAGCTAGTTTCCTGGGTACCGCAGACTCAAAGAGAATATTGTACAGTACTTCTCTTCTAACTGAATCATAGGCTTTTTTGAAGTCTATGAACGGCTGATGTACTGCCTTATTGTACTCCCATTTATGCTCCAGTGTCTGACAAATGCTGAAGTGTCATTAGTAGTTGATATGTTATTGCAGAACCCACAGTGACGATTTCCAACTATTTTTTCTATGTATGGATTTCACCTTGATGGATAAAATTTTGTATGAAGCTGATAACAGTGATATGCTGCGATAATTACTACTTCCAGTTTTATTGCCCTTATAAATTGGTACAGCAGTAGACTTCTACCACTGCTGAGGCAATTTTTCCTTATTCCATGTAGAATTAATGAGTTTTTTTTTTTTATCAGTAATCTGTCAGACGACAGGTCCACAGTCTCTCCCAAAACAGTTTATCCACTTAATGCGATCTAGGGATTTCTCCTTCAAATGAGAATATCCTCTTCTGTCCCCAAGGTCATCCAGCATCTTCTTACGTCTTCTGGTTCGCATACATGGTGTCTCTGTGTTTGGAAAGAGACTATCCAGGAAAAGTGATAATGTGGTAGTTTTTCCATTTGCTTTCCACATCGCAGTACAACAGCCGTTCAAACCACTCTGGTCACGCCTGTTGCTATACGAACTTGAACCATCTCGAGCATCATTTGTTCTGTGCTTCAAGTCGATACTGATGACGCTGCTTCCGGCATCAGTTTTTGGTTTTTGGTGTCCCTCTTCGTCTGATGCCTACCCTTTGACCTGTCCAGCAAAGGAGGCCCTGCCAGTAGTTACGCTACCGCTGGTATAGCTCTCAGGGTCCTTGGCATACTCAAACCCCCTCACCACGATAAGGTGGAGGCACCAGGTAGCGTGACGAAAATAACGGGTTCTAGCTCGGATGATTGGATTCAGTAGCACTTCGGTTACACACTCTCTCTCTTAATTACAATTAATACAGCGCTATCGCTGATTTACACAATTTACAGTTCACCGTTGCACACGCACTGGGATACTCCGTCTTCGCTAGTCGTCTCCTAGCAACGGATCCCAACACAGAAACTAGCACTTCAAATCACTTTTAAGTCTTCTTGCCATTTTTTGTTCAATCATCCTGGAACCTCGGCACTCAACTAAAACTCTCCTGGAAACTCTTAACTACGTTTTACTCTGCACTGCACTGTGCGCTAATATAAGCTGCAACAGGTCTTGTTATATGTATATC